ATAATAGGATTCATGTCAAGACCGTGACGAAGCCGCTCAAGACAATCACTTTCTTAAGCTTCTCTGTCCCTGGTGATGAGAAGTAGCCATGTAACATGATGCTGCCTCCACCACGCTTGACGGTAGGAATTGTGTCCACTGGGAGATGTGCTATGATGCCCGTACCAAGACATAAGAGTTTGCATTTAAACCAAAATGTTCCAGTTTTGTCAGTCTGACAACAAAAGCAAACTGTTCTAAAATAATGTGGAAAACGTTTATTTCACACAAAGGGCACTCAATTATTTGTGTGACTCATTGAAGTAATTTTTGGCACCTAAATAAACTTAGGTTTGCCACGGGGCTTAAATAATTACACAATCATGACTTTCTTTTATTTTGTTTATTATCTATTCACTTCTTTGTTTTAATTTTGCTTTGAGTTCGTGATTATAACAAATATTAATTGGTACTTCAAAGTGTCATGCTTTAAAGCAACAAAATGTGAAAGCTGCAAGAGTCTGAATACGTTTACGTCACTGTATGCAGCACTAAAAATCAAAATGTTGGCTCTCCTTTGGAGAATTTTCCAGCAGAATCAAAACAAATGAAACAGTAAGAAGTGCTTTATTTTGAAAAGGTGTTTCATATACATACAGTGCTGCCACATCATAAAGGTAGTTGGCTGCCAGATTTGGGAAACAATGCCATACATGGTTTTAATTAAAACAAATATTTTGAGGTTCCCAGAATGTCTGGAACAAACCCAATTTCATCTGGGTACATAACACTGATACAGGAGGAAGACAAGACAATTTTGGCGATTAAGTAAACCTAATAGTTAAAATCTGAAAATCTGCACCTGGGCAGTCAAAAGTAATGACAGCTGCATTGTTGCCCCCTAGTGCCTGTTGTTGAACTGCTGCCCTAAAGTGTGAATAAATGAAGGCTCTCAACAGTGAATTAGCGAGGTAATACTGCTTATCATTTACCACATTTTCAAGTCTACCATTTATATTGTACTTGCTCTTCTAAAACACTAACACCCTTAAATTAACAGAACTCATAATTCATAACTCAAAATTACAACTCTTGCCAATTTCCAACACTGAAACATGTAAATCTCAGTGACTAAACCATATTCAACTATTCGGTGTGACGCAGAGCTATGAGGTAATGCAATAAGTGGAATCATAACATATGGCACAATGAACATGTATTCTGACACTCACCAGACACATATCCTTACATAAAGACAAAGCCTCCAGGAAATACCCTAAGTAACCATCCTTTTAAATTGTTCAATAACCTTTTATTAAGGTTAAAATGTAAAAAGTAAAATCACACATTTTAGATGCTCTGCCTACTCATACATCCAATGAACAGGTGATATAGGCTGTACCTCCTACATACATTGCACTTTTAAAGCAGGAAAAGTTAAATTAGCTTGTGAAACATGGTGCCACTGCAATGTATCTTGAGCAAGAGAAAATCATGGGCTCCTTCCAGAAATAAAAAGTCCCCACTACAATTTTGTGCAACAAAAGGCACAGATAAGAAAATGAGTAAAAGATAAAAGAGCTCAAATTTGCTGAATAATTTCAGCAATTCTGGATTAACCAGTAATGGACTGAATGGGGAAGTGCCTGCACCTTTGGCACAGAGGATAAACCAAATAACTAGAGTTTACAACAGGAAATGTAGGTGATGTAAAGGCCATTTATGCAAAAGGGAAGAAAAAAAGTCATGATCATTAAGCCCTCTCTGAGCAGATGCTGTTTAAGGGGGGTACTGAAATTGCAGAGCAAGAAACCTCACACTGTCAGAGGAATGCTAGTCTGGCCAGATTCAACCAGCATGGTCAGAAATATGACTATCAGGTGGGTGACAATAAAACTGAAAGGGATACCCAACAACACACTATAAAATAAATAGAATAAAATGATGAGCCACAAGGTCACAAGAGGGAAGAAACGTGTAGGATGACTTGGTGGGACTCCACCAATGAAGCAGCTTCCAAGGCCGAGTGAAGAGCCAAGTTACAGGTCATGATCAAGTAAGCTGCAATTCTTCTCTCTAGACAAACTATTATTCAAGCAGAACAACTACAAAATTAACTCAAGAAATCACGTCTTGAGTTTTTAAAGGACAGAACGGCAAAAAACAAGAAATTGATCATTTCTACTGTTAAACTGATCAGATGTGGCTTCTGGAATTTCTCGGCAGAAGTTAAGTTGAAATACTAACATTCTAGGAATGAAATCTCAAAGACGATGAGCTATAAGCTATTCCCTGTGCTCTGCACCCTTCTCTGCACCAGCCTGATGCGACAGATCTTCCAGCTGTCCTACAATCGAGATCTTTGATCTTCATTTACTCAAATATCTGTAATCACATTTCTGGCTCAGCATGAAGGCAGACACTTATGACGCCTGTGCCATTCACCATCACTTATTTGTGTGAAACCAAATCATAGTTTCCATTAAGACAAGCAATCACTTTCCTGCAGACATTATTTCTGAGCTCTGTTTTGCATAGTAACTACACAAATCTCAAGATGTTTTCCACATCACTGAAACATATGCATCACATTACTCCAGGTGAGAACTCAAACGTAATGTTTAAAGCCTTCACATTTTATCAATGCTACTGGAATTTTCATGCATGAAATAATTCATACAGTTAAAGTTTAGCTTTTTGAACTTCTACACATACCTTGTCAAGGAAGTTCACTATGGTTTGAGACAAATGTTTGAACAAATAATTTGCATTCATCAACCCAATCTTGCAATATGTGTGAAAACAATTCCACAGACTTTAGTGCTGAAAGTACTGTTACATTTTGTGATGGTAAAAAAAAAGTTATTTAAGTGAGTTTCAGTGTTGATTTCCCATAAGAAAGTCTAGTTCAATCAATAGGTCTCTTCTACAATACAGCTAACATATTTAACAAATAGCAACTGCAGGTTTAGAAAAATGGTTTAAGACACTTCAAATCGAGATACTATTTCTTATAGGTGAATGTTCATGCCATCTCTGGATAATATCTGGGTTACAAATGTTTCAATGTTTTAAATACAATCATATTGATTAAAATTTGAAAAGCTGTGATCAACCATATTGTATCCCAATTCAATTCCAAGGATCATAATACAAGTTCCAGTCCAGTTTTATGATCCAACCTGCAATTAAATCACTAACTTCAAAGTCCTATCTGGCTCAAAATTGAAGCAAGTTCACAATCTGAGACCATTGGGAATGGATTCATCCTATTGCTGGTTCACACAACACATTTTATTTCCCATATTATATTTAAGACATCAGAAAGGCAACTGAATAGCCAGTGGGTTCCCGGAACCACAAGAGAAAAATCGCTAATACCTTTCAAATGATTTATAAGGATATAAAGCTTGGATGTCTCCATTTTAGGGTTCTTTTGGTACTGCAATATAAATGCAGAGCTCAGAGTTAACACTGGCTTATTCCCCACTTGTCTTTTAAATTCTTTCAGCACCAATACAAATGCATTCCCTGAAAAACAACTGATGCCACTGTAAAACGACACAAACCTATTAAAATATGTGAAATGCCAGATGAGAACAAATGCTTTTTTGTTAAGGCTTTTTTCAAATGTCAGTTCTGACACCAACAACAAACTATTATGATGGTGTATTAAATCAAGTCTCTGACTACACCTTTTTCTGTAAAATGACCAATAAATGACATACACACAGAAAACGCCCTAATTAGGAACTTCATGTTACATTACATAGGTCTACAACCTATATGAGTGTAAAATATTTTCCTAAGTAATATTTTATGTTGACTTCTAAAGGAATATTTTCATAGAGTTACACCTATAAAAACGGATTCCAAAATCAGCTGCTCAACTGCTAAAGAAGTTTTTTTCCATGAATTGAGGCAACAGCCCCAAATACCATATAAAATAAAGATCACTTTCAATGCAACCCAATCACCAGACAAATATGACAATGTACAGTGATGTAATCCAATCATTAACTGCAACTTATCAGATAAAATAATTGAACCAATACTAGTTGAAGCATGCATAGATTTTACTTTTTACCAAATGTGTCCATTTTAAGCGATACCTGTTGGCTTCAAACACTTTGATAAAGAACCTCAGAGACTGCGACATCAAGGGATGTCACACTATAGACTGTGAAGAAAACAAATATATCTCAGCCCAGCGCATACACAAGGAAACAAAAATGCAAATCCAATACTAAAGGGTACCGTATTTCCATTGCTCTTCTGAAATTATATAAAGCAAAAGGCTGAGTTAAATAACTAAGGCACAAGAGCTCTCGATTATAACACCTGAATAGCTTTCTCTGTTTTTCAATAACTTCTAAAGGGTAAATGCAACATGCTGAAGTTATATTATGTGCCATTTCTTTCACTCAAACGTTCATCCAGCTCATTTATAACCAGGCAAAGCTTTTCAGCAACTGAAAACTCTTGAAATAACTCTGTTCTGGTTTCACGTCACATAGCAGAGATTGATTAACTCATTATAAAGTTCAGGTAGCTTTTTTTCCCCTCCTAAGCCAGTGTTAGCACTGTGCCTCTAGCATACTGTGTCTTTGCAGGCTTAAAAAACTGGAAATTGCAAAAAAGTAACAAAAACAGTAAAGACCCTTATTGATGTTTCCAATTGAGCTCAACATTAACCTGGAAATAATCAGCAAAAAAACCATGGAGTTACCATTGCATTCACACTGTAAAATAATTACCTAACAGAACAGAAGAACAGGAACGGGGGGAAAAAGATGACAAAGCTTAGAGAATGATGGAACCACTTATGGACAGAGGCAATAACAGCAGACCCATTAGTGGTCTGTAGATCAACTGTTACAAATACAAATGGAGGAAGGAGCAAAAAGAAAAAACAGGGGATGTGGGAGAGAGAGAAAGAAGCAGCTTGGAGAGCTTACTCTAAGGAGAAGTAAACTGTGGCACTAGGAAGAGAAAGAGTAAAAAAGTTGAATGGCACTCACCAGTTAGGACTGCCTTAGCGGAAGGATCAGCCAGGTCCAGGGCTGACTTGCCGTCAGTATTTCGAATGTTAGGATCAGCTCCATGCTGTAGCAGGACTGTGCAGGGGAAACACAAGCAATATCTTATCTCAGGGATGCACAGACTGTTGGCCGGTAATACTCTCCTTGGCATTGCGCAGACATAAACATACATTGCACAAGTGCACATCTAAACAGGAGGGGAAGGTGGGGGGGGGAGAGGTAAAGGGGAAAAAAATATGCACTGCAGCAAAAAAAATCCACGTTATAAAAGGAGACAGACTCGAGGCAGGACCATGTGACTTGTATCACAGGTATGCGTGTCGAATATCAAAGTGAAACATTTTTTTCCTTCCATCGAGAAGCTCTTCTGAAGCATGTGTGCCGTTGCTTCTCTTCCACAGGCAATGAGGAGCTGGGAAGCAGCGCACCTAAAGCCAGCAGTGTCCCTGTAGTGTCTCTGCTCTGCCTCTAACTCCCCACCCCCCCCCCCCCCCCCCCCCAACACACACCTCCCCTTCTCTCTCTCCCGCTCTCTCACTCACTCCATGCTGCTGTTCTTTTCCTAAACGTCTGAAAGCAGTCGCACCTCGAAGCCCAAAGCCGTGATAACAATTAGGCTTTTGAGCCTTCAGTGGCTTGCAAGTTCCAGAGAAAAAAAAACCCTTGCTCGACATGGTTCTGGAAAAGGTAATAGGCTGACAGCAAACTGGGACCCTGTACTCTGCCTTAGAAGAAACAGCCTGTTCCACACACTCAGTGCAGAAAGCATGATGACATGAGGGGAAACCTGACAAAACCGTGGACGTCGCACTTGTCCTACAGTATTCCCTCTCTACTTCTGCCTCTGCTGTTTCGTGAGCTACAGTTGTACACCACAACCCCTGAAAGAAAAGTGCTGATTTGCTGGCAGATTAATTGTTGAGGCAGTAATGAAGCTGACTTTTGATTACTTTTCGACAGCACTCACTCAACAAAGCAAAGCGTGATTCATGGACCCGTCTCTTACACGCAGCCAGACCCCAAGGTCCCCACCTCCGCACACTCAGGTAAAGGATTAAGATTGAAATTCAGGGATTATCCTGTTGGCAGCTTCCATAAAAGATGCATGACTGCTTACTGCAGAAAATATAGGAAAGAAACATAATAGCATGCCATTTCAAATCAAAATATTGCATTATTCAAGATAAAAAATGAATGCTGCTTTATGCAAATTGCAGGCCTTGCAGTGAGATTTACATGCAAAACAGCACAAATGTATTTGTATGCACGCAAGGCTGCTGCTACACAATGTCACCACTTCAGTGTCCAAATATCAGATATTGTAGAAGAACGGACTTCGCTTCGAGAATGATAGTATTTCCAATTAATAATTTATTGAGTTTCCTCAACCTATTTCTGCTACAGATGCCACCCAAAAAGTGCAAGCCTTTTTTTCATTTGTCTGTTTTCAAAAGCCAAACTCACCAGTCCCCAGGGAGATCAATTGCAGCACTAACCTGCCTGCACAAATATAATTGAAATCTCAGGGTACAGTATTAGCCAATGGTGGAAAACAAAAGCAGTATTGGGCAAGTCGGGTCCAGATGTGCTATAATTACATAATTAAACTGAGTGAGGTGTGTAATTAAGAGGACATATATATATAAAAATCAATGTCACAGAGACAGTGGTACAGGTGTTCCTAATTAATCCCTGTTACTGTAGCATTTAATACCACTCCAATCATCAAATAACAACAGAGGTCTCCATGTTGCTTGGAAAGGTGACTCAAGCTCACTGACAGAGTAAAAGAATGTACATTGTAAAATTCTTAAATACTTAAATTTCTATTTTACATTATTGTGAAATTTCACTTTGCCGCCTTGCTTGGTATTGTGAGGCTTGAGAAATGGAGACCAACCATAAGTTTAAGCTATACATATAATTGTGATGACTTTTCCCTAATTTTCCCTTCCCTTTTACTATTAACATTAAAAGACAGTCATTTTTTTATTTTTAGATGTAACATTTTCTCAAAAAAAGGTTAATGGTCTTGCTATATTTAATTTATGTCTCACCATAAGCATACTTGGATTCTCAATATCTAGGCTTTCTTCTATGCTGAAATTGAGAATGTTACTCTTGCATGAAGTTTATTAAGCTCTTCTTCACACAAGTACAATCTCAAATGTCAAACATCAGCGAGAATAATTTATAGCTGCACTGCAGCAACTTTCCAAGTCCAAGTGCAACCAGTGGCTGCAGATGCAAGTATTCTCCAAATAGCAACGTTCATGCATTTTGTTTCTACACAACAATATTTGGCTATCTTCGTTCCTGGCACGATCTATACAGGAAGAAAATGGCTGAATTTCATTAGCCTGTCCTCTCACGTACTTGAACTATACAAAATCTAGTGTAGAGACTTCTTTAGACCAAAAAACAAAGTCCAAAAGAACATTACAAGTAAATACCCTGTCCCAATTCCCATACTGATCCCTACGCCCTTCCTCAAAGTCCGCACTTCCTGTTAATGCTCCTTTTCCAGTGGCTAAGCCGATAATGGTTTCTTAAAATAATTTTTCATTTTCTGCTCGATTTTTGATTAAATTATCCAGTGCAAATATGACATTAGATGAACATAACGCGTTTATTCACGTTCATTCAAAGTAATTCAAAGCAAACCCAGTTAAACGCGACAATACCTCAAAGCTTTGCACTATTAAATACGCGTACTATTAAATATTCCGTGTACAAAATACATCGCCAGTAAACGAATTTTCATCAGTCGAAACAGGTGACGAAATAAAAGCTTCGTACCCAGAACAAAAAGTATGAATCTAAAGTAACCTAATGAAATTGTTTATTTAAAATATTATACGTTTTTTAAACTGTAAAAAAGTTCAATTTTACTAATACGTGTTTATCTTCTCCATGGCAATGTCTCTCTGCTTTGATAGGCTAGAACGCGAAACGTCGCCATTCCGAAACAGGGGGTAATTCCCTTCAGCGGAGTCCGCTCCGATACGGACTTCAGAGAAGGACACATTAAGGCCGCATCGGGGCCACTCGTGAGCATCCTTGTGAAACAAACATTTTGAAAAGAGCACCGTAAGCCCTTGCAGATTTGAGCGGGAACGCGTATATGAAGGGAGCAAGACCGCAAGTGTGCATATTGGGACACGGCCAAAAACTGTGAAATCATGAGACAATAACTAATTACCTGTAAAGGTACAAATTAAAATACTGAATGTAGTCTTAAGGAAACAGTTACCTGAATACACTAGAGGAAATAAAGATATTGGGAAAACAATGTGACAAAATACAAATGAAGCTAACTTTTTTTTTACTAAACCTGTGAGCAAACACTTTGATATAAAGCATTTACATTGTTTATAGCAGACCTTAAATTGTATTTGAACAATTTATGTTTTAACAATCTCATATAGACGTAGGAGAAGATCTAAAAATAATCATATTGAAACAGGTGTTCTGAAGCTGTTATCTGCAAGCCAATATGTTTTATCAGAGAATGTGATCCCCTATCTAAAAAATAAGGCTCTATTTGCATAACGATTGCAGCATCATTAATAGCTAATTAGTAGAAAAGTAAAATAAATGTGAGGTGTAGTGATTTAATCTAACCTATGTGCCTGCTGTTTTTTTGCATTGCTAGAAAGGAAAGCTGATCACATATGAGTCTGACCTAGCTTGATTCTCATTTTTGCTTGCTTCGTTTTTTCCAGCTGACCAAAAACAAGGATAAGGAAACCAGGTGGCTTTAGTAATTTGGGTCACTGATTTACATTTCAGGATTCCAGGTCAGGCTGCCTTACACCCTGCAAACAGCCAGCACAATTATACTGAGCGCTTAGATTTGAATGCAGTGGAGCAGAGTTTCAGTGCAGTAGCCAGATCTAACATTTGGCCAATTGTGGAAAGAATTTCAAAAAGATCTGGATTCCGTATGGCTGCAGAATAAATTAGACTTCCATACTGCTCTGCATTCACATTTCCCAAGGACAGGAGCACAGAATTGCAGGGTTTTATTTTTACCCTGATTTCTTTACTGATTTGACCTACTTATAAGAACAGCTATCTCACGCTGAAGAAAGGTGAAAGGTGCAGGAAAATCCTAAAATACCCTCATTTTACCCAACACTTCACTTTGTGTTGATTTTGGCAACAGATTTTCTAACACTCCAAAGAGCCTAGGCTCAGACCAGAGTTCAAAAGGCTGGTCTTGCTTATTTCATTAAGATAGATATGAAAAGGATTATTATGATAGTAAGTTTATAATAATGGTAATATGGATACAGTACCCAGTGAATCAAAGGTCTTCCATAATTCCTGCATGGACCCATGAGTCTGCACTAAACAGAAAGTTCTGATTGCTTGTGAAAGAATGCAATACAAAAAATGTTTGTGAAAAGCTGAATGTAAACCAAACCAAGGCTTAGACTCTCCTGACCAAAGATCAAGGAAATTATGTAGGGTGGCTTATCAGTTGGGTCATTTTTATATAAAGTATTTAATGCTGGTCATTATCTACATTCAAATGTTATATCCAAAAACCCTGAAATAGTGAGACAAAAACTAATTATCAATTATTAACTAATTATTAGGTTAAAATTAAAATACTGAACTAACACACCACATTCATTTTCCCAAAATGCTTCTAATCAAACACTTTCCCATCCCTTTAAAAAAGTTACTTCATGATTCACCATACTTCTTCAGAACCCTATTACTATTCTCCTGAGATCAGAACAGGTCTTGCTCTTTGTAGCAGACGCTAAATAATTCATATGACAGTCAATACTATGTCATAAAACCCTTGATCATTTCACCTTGCATGGAAAACTGGAGAGAAATGTTGAGACAAATGTGAGTGCATTCAGCCTGTATAAAGCATTTTTACTTTATCTCCAGCTTCCCCCTGTCAAAAGTATTTCCTCTCACAAAATCTGCATTCTTTGTGCTCACAAAACGTATTAATATAAAAAAAATACTGATGAGCTAAAACTCCAGTAACTGCAAGTTGAATCCCCCCCCGTCCTTTTAGAGTAACATACAATGGGATCTAAGAGATGCTT